TATTATTCAACATTAAAATCATTTAACAGCTTAATGTCATATTCCAAAATAAACCACGGAAGAAATTTGAAGAATTTACTAACCTCATCAATCATAACACTTTAAATCCTTCTCATAACTCATAATTTATGAAGCTTTATTGAATTTAATAATAATTATTAATTTGCAATAACAATAGACTCATAAAAATATTTAACATGGCTAACACGAAATGAGTACAAAAAGGTGTGTTTACATTCATCAAAAGCTCAAGCACTGCTATTATTCTTTTGGTCTGTTTCTGGCAGTTTCGTGCATTTTATGCAACATATTGATTTTTTTTTGGAGAAATTGAATCCTTTAAATTAAAATTGATCTTTCAAACAAATAAAAACCTTTTTTATAACTCAACCATCATCACTGAAAACTTTATCTATTATTTTTTATAGCACCCAATTCTTAAGAATATGTTAATTTGTTTGACCAAAGGAACCAACACGCAATTTATTAAACAAAAATCATCGAGAAACATTGACAAAGGAATGAATGACTTAAAAAAACTTGTCCAGACTAGATTTTTAACCGTAAAACTTGCAAATTTGCATTTATAACAAAAGATTTAACTTAAATCCAGATACACAGCTGTCTGAGTCACGAGAAGTCAAACAAGGAATGAAATGAAATCGAAAGTGCTAATTTATTTAATGACAAACGTTTATGTTCAGCTGTAATTTGAGTTTTAAAGGAGTTTGGTATTGATAATTTTATTTTTTTAATTATCACCTTTGGATCTATGTCGAGGCAGTTCAAGTCAGAGTTGCGATACAGGTCACCTGTCACAGGCACGGGTGACAGATCTGCTATATATGTGCGCAGATTTGACAGATCTGTGCCAAATCTGTGAGAGATTTGTGCCAAATCTGTGAGAGATCTGTGCCAAATCTGTGAGAGATCTGTTCCAAATCTGTGACAGATCTGTGCCAAATCTGTGAGAGATCTGTGTCAAATCTGTGAGAGATCTGTGCCAAATCTGTGACAGATCTGTGCCAAATCTGTGAGAGATCTGTGCCAAATCTGTGAGAGATCTGTGCCAAATCTGTGAGAGATCTGTGCCAAATCTGTGACAGATCTGTGAAAAAAAATATTGCCGGTCAAAGGCATTGCCTGTTAACAGGTAAGTGACAGGTGATTGTCTGTGACCGATCACAACTCTGGCTTAAATGGAAGTGCTAAGTATTTGTTATTGGTACAAGGAATGCAAACTTATTTTTGTGGAATTTTAATAATTTTTTTTTCCAACTATTTATTGGGGTCGTTCAGAAATGACGTTAGTCAACAACGAAGAATTTTAAATACTCAAAAATTTATTTAAAAATTTGATTTTGATTTTGATTTGTATTTAAATGTTAAGAATTAGCAGAACCCCCCCTCCCCAATAATTTGTTTTATTTTTAAAAAATTGACGTCATTTATGAACGAAGACCAGATGTAAATCATTCAAAAATTGATCACTAAGAAGCTGCCTATCCCCAGAAAACAACATTAAGTTTGTCATTTCAAAAAAACATGTCTAATTTAATTACCATACAAATTACTCGATGCAATTAAATCCGGCATGATATAATTTTAATGTCATATGAATGTGCAGAAAATATAATTTTAATTATTATTCAAACTCATATGGATATGATACTCATATATTTAATGACAATTTATTTCAATTCACATGCAAAATATTCAAATGAGGAGATAGGAAAAGTGCATTGCTGATAGAATTAGATGATAAATGTAATTGGACAGCTATGATTTTATGGAGATTTGAAGAATTTTTATTGACATTTAGATTGTATCATGTAAATGATCTTGATTGGAGACTGCATAAAATATGTGTCAGGATGTCAATAAAATGTTGAATTTCAAACTTTTCCTAGTTTTATTCTGAATTAGTTTTTTTAAAAAAAAGCCAATATTTCAAAAACAAATTAATCCAGATGTTCAACTTATAAACCACATGAACCACAAAACCCTTTCGTCACTCATTAATTTACTTAAAATGCACTCAATTTACTTACTTATTTACATTTACATTTACACAACATTCAACATTTGTTCATTTCAATATTAATTTACATTATTACACAATATTTTAAAATAAAAATCAGCTGTGCTGGAAACGATAACAACATTCACTTGTCATTATGAGATAATTTTTCATATGTATGCCTTGAACATGATCCTCTTGCGCGCGCTTACTTTAAATAAATCAGTGACTGCTCTTGATAACGAAAATGGAATTTTATTTTAAATTGTTATGCAAACTGCAATTTTATTGAATAATATAAAATATTACTTAAATTTTTGTTTAGATTGTTGCTTTTTTTAAGGACACTTTTAAGGATTCTTCAGCTGTCAACACTTGCAATCAATTGAAAGGATTTTAACAAGAACAATCTAGCTTCAATAGCAATAATTCATCATTCCAGCTTATCAACAAGACAAACTACAAAGTTTTCTTCGACCTCCTTTCAACAGCAATAAGAAAATCACAATTTAATATTATTGCACAATTTTAATCACGTCCATTGACCCATTATGGCAGGAAAAGTGAACATTGTGTTGATAATGACAAAAAAAAAATAAAACAATAAAGGTTGATGATAAGTTGTCAATGAAAAATACAATTTATAATGGAAAGTTAAAAATTCTTGATTTTTTTAAAAATTGTAAAATGAACCATTGGAGCAGAGCTCAAAGTCAATAAAATCTCGAGTCGACTTCGAGCCCTGCTTAAGAGTAGATTTAACATTAAAGTTTTGAAATCCAAAATTATAAAATTAAAAAAAAAACCTAAGTGTGATTAAAATTGATTTAAATTAAAAAAAAAATATTTTCATGTTTTCTTTTAGAAAAAAAATTTCAAACTTCAAAAGAACAGAATTTAAAATTTAAAACTTTTTAAAAAAAATTAAAAAAATTTCAAAAAAGACTTTGTACTTGTAAACATTTTTTAAAATGCTACGCTGCAAAATCAAAGAAATATCATTTTTAAATAAATCTTGAAAAATCCTACAAAATCCCCACATTGACACCACATCCCAAGAAGTGTGACACTCACTTAATTAAACCCCAACAACAACATTACAAACTTTAAGTCGTTCTCGCTTTACAAAATTAATTGAATGTAATTTAAACAGACAAAAATGTATTTAAATGTGCGACGACTTATCGTCACCTGGGAACACAACAACAACAACAACAACAACAACAACAACAACTGAAATACTATAAAAAGAAAATTAAACAAATATTTATTAAGTGATAACAGTTTGGTAGGTCAACAGTTTATTTTATGCAAAAGATTGTTGCGACTATGTTGCAATAACTTACAAGTGGCATTAACAGTTTAATTTCGAGTGTAAAACTTCACCATGTTTTTCCTTGAAAGCTATAAAATTGAATGAATGTGCAAAATTATGTAAAAAGGTGTCAGGTGCATTGGGTTATTAAAATGAAAGTCTCTAGAATATTTGTGTAGAAATGAGACTTGAGGAAAATTCAAAAATTCAAAAATTTAAAAATTCAAAAATTCAAAATTTCAAATATTTAACAATTTTCTAATTTAAAAATTTAAATTTCAACAATTTTAAAAAATTCAAAACTTTAAAAATTTAAAAGTTTAAAAATTCAATACTTTAAAATTTTAAAAAAACAAAAAGCTCAAAAGTTCAAAAGTTCAAAAATTTCAATAGTTTAAAGGTTCAAATAATTCAAAAATCTAAAGCTTTCGAATTTAAAAAAATTCAAAAATTTAAAAGAACCACTTAAAGTTCAAAATATCAATACTTGCACCTACTTTAACAGAATTCACACTTTATAAAACTAGAAACAACAAAATTTTACACCAATTCACACCAAAAACTTCCTCTTTCCATGAATATTTGGTTTTTTATGCCTGTTTAACTCACTAAATGTGGTTAAATGGGCTTTTTCCTTTTAAAAAGAAAGAAAGATAATAATAAAATAATAATAATAATAATAATAATAATAATATGTCAACATCAGCTATCACCTCTTCTTAGTTATTTGTAAACTTTTCCTAAAAGTTTATTCACTTTTGTTTCAAGTTTCAATAATCTTTCACATCCTAAACAGATTTACACAATTTTCACTTACAACTTTAAACTTTTTTAAGGTTGCAAAATTATTTATGACAAAAATTTCCTGTGACTTGATAAGTTTAAAAGTTTCTTGACTCTTAATGATTTGATTTGATTTTAGAGATTAAAGAGCTTGATGTTTATGAATTTATCGGATTAAAAGTTTTAAAGGGTTGATCATGAATGACGTCACTCAAGAATTGAGATTTTTGACTTGTCATGCAAAAATAAGAATTTCTTATGATTAAAACAGTAGTGTCAAACCTTTTTTTGTATCACTGTACAACTTAATGGTAAGCTATGACAGAAACCGCACACAGGATACGGTTCATGGAATTTTCTGAATTTTTTCGCGGCACACTTGTTTAAACCGTCACAAAAATCAAATCTACCCCACGACCCCCTAATGTGAGACGTCATTTAAGGACAGTTCCTAAGGTTTTGTGATTTTTTTGTTCACATTGTGTTTAAATATTGCCACAAAAATAAGAAAAACTCTCAAAGGATCCGTCAAAGAATCTTAAATTGCATTCTTGAATAATACTAAATTTAAGCTACTAGAATTAAACTCTATATTTTGTTTCTAAGTTGCAAATAACTCAAACTGATTGGTTGATGTCGATATGAGGAGCAAAAATGTATTACTAAAATAATTTTTGTATTACTTTATTAGATTAAATCGTGCCAAAATAATGTTAGATTCAGTTTTAAGATGATATTCATTTATATTCGGTATAAATGTGTAACATATGATGAAACTTATAAGTTCAGTATTTAAACAATCAAACAAATAAGCAATTGTTATAGTTTAATAGAGTCAAATCAATAAGACAGATCTAAGTCCTTCCAACTTGTGAAACTAAAATGAAAATTGCAATTTTTATAATTGCTTGTGCAACAGTTGTGTTAGAAAAGTCAATCAGTGCCGAAAATTCAATATGTACTTACGAATATCGCCAACATTACACAAAGAAAAATCCTAATGTTTTCTATTATACTTGCATTTATGACTCTTATAAAGAAAATAATCAAATAAATTTGACAGGAAGGCATCATAAAGACCACAACAACAGCTGTGTACAAAATTTTGATAGCACTTTCGGATATATGCAGCCACTATCATCATTTATTTGTGAATTATTTCAAAATTTAAAAAAAATTCGAGTGACAATTTCACATTTGGAATCGATTAATGAAGATGCATTCCAAAAATGTAAAGATTTAAGGTTTCTAATGCTGCCGAATAACAAAATTCGTGAACTTTCTGAAAATTTATTTTTAAATCAATCAGAGCTTGAATACTTAAATTTAGCACTTAATGCAATCAACTTTCTGCCAAGCAAAGTTTTTCATCCACTCAAAAAGCTTAAACAACTTTATTTGAACGACAACAAAATCCAGTCGATAAATCCTGAATGGTTTAGATGTTTACAGAAATTAACGACTTTATCACTAGCTTTTAATCAAATTTCGGAAGTTCCATCAAAATCTTTGCAGTCGCTTAAAAATTTGACAACTTTATGGATTGATAGAAATAATTTAAAAACTTTAAAGCCAGACAGCTTTGTTGGTCTTCAAAATTTAAAGCTATTGAGTTTAAGTAGCAATAAAATCACCGATCTTCCAGTTGATGTTTTTGGTTCCTTAAATAATTTACAATATTTAGTATTGAATGACAACAAATTGACAACTATCCACTCAGATTCTTTTGGTATTCTTAATCAATTGATTAGAATTGACATCCAGAACAACACAATAACAGCAATTGATGAAAACTTAATCAACAAGCTGGCAATTACTTATTTGGATATGAGAAATAATCCATGCAATTCCTTTTTTCTTGAATCTGCACGTGACATAAAGTCAAACTTGACCGAATGCTTTGTGAACTATCAACAATTGAAGAATCACAGCTACAACTTGTGTAGCACCAGCTTAGAATGACAACCGAAATAAAAATGAAATTCGAATCGATTTTGAGAAAAAGCTGCATCTTGCTGTCCATAAATTGTCAATTTTTATTGCATGACTTTCAAGTATAAGCCTTAACTCAATTTCTAGGAAATCATTGATACTTATTTTATGACTTTAAGTCTCAATAACAATTTAAATTTATTAAAAAAGATTAAAGTTTTTTATTAACGATCAATTTTGATGTCAAAACTGTTATTTTAAAGATGTTTTGCCGCGTCAAGACTTTCACTTTTAGTTCCATTTCCAAAAAAAGTTTAATTATCTTCTACTTTTATCCCCTTGAACGAGCTCTCCTCGAGCCATTCTTGAAAATTCCATTTATGAAGTGGCAAAACGCACATTCCAGCTGTTCCAAATCGAGTCACTTTCCACAAACCACGACGTCCAGCAATAGGAAGTTTGCATCGTCTTCGTAAACGTGATTTTATGAAATAATCACTTTTAAAGTTTGTATTAGATTTGAATTTATCGCCACTGCCCCAAGAATAAATGACACTCTTGTTTAAGTCATGTTGCGTTGGCTCGTGAAACCATCGAATGCGATTCTTTAATTGATTCTTTCTCAACACTGATGGATTTGCATCGTGATAGTTATCAACGAGACGCTCTACATAAAAGTCACAATCTCGTTCTGGATAAAATCGTGGCATTTGAGATGATTGGATATTGACTGGATGGTAAATTTGATGACTGAAGATTTTGAAAGTCGTAAATTATTTTTTTTGTTGATTGAAATGTCGTGCAAAAGCATGTTGTGGTTAATCTTCAGATTAAGATTTTGTGTTTATAAGAAATTTGATTACGAAATATTTTTTGGATGGAAGGGATCAATGGACTTTGAGTTGTTGCACATTTTGATAATGTATTGACAAAAATGAATGAAATTGCTATCAATTAAGCAACGCGTGTCAACGATTATAGCTTATTTTAAAGAAGAATTAGAATTATTCAAAGAATATCCAACATTCCATATTTATTAATATTCCATGCTGATCTCCAAATCCCAACAGAAATTCAAAACAATCAAGCAAAAAGATCCATAAATTATTTATGCCACGTGATTTATTTAAATTTTTTTCATTGACATTGAAAAATAATCTCACTCATAAATGAAGTGATGACAAGCCATTGACATCGTCTAAGTATGAAGGAACATTAAATCATATTTCATAATTTGTGAATTTCTTATTGGCGATGATCTTTAAGCCCCCACAATCGCATTTATTTAATTCATAATAAAAAAAATATATTTTTAAATATTTAAAAGCTCTTCTTACTTTTGGTGTTGAGAACTACACTCATTTTGATAACCCACATTGACGTAAGCAAGTGTTCTTCTCACGAAGAATTATAAAATATGCTGCAACAAATTATCGACAGGAGGTAAGAAGTAGAATGGAATTTATAAATGAACTTTGATTCAGTCATGCAAGATTCGAGCTAGATTTTTGTTTTGATGAATGAATTATTGAGAGAGTTCAAGGATGAAGGAGGTTTTTATGAAAGAATATAATGATTAAGACTTTCTTGCTACATCTTGGTATCAAGCAAGATGTACACAAATCTGTCAATGCAAGAATAAGTCTTCTATAGCCGATTGTTTAGACCATATAGTCACCTATCAAAAAGGGAGCTTAATTATGCGAAATGTTCGTTCGTTCGTTCGGCTGCTCGTTCGGGGCAAGAAAAAATTTTTAACCAGACATCGTTGAGAGCTCAGGTTTGTTTTATTAGCTCCGTTACAATTGATTTATTGGCCGATCGAACAGTTAAAAGTCTTGAAACAGTGTATTTATACTACAATTATTGATGTTTTTATTTCATAAACAAAATCACGTGATGAGTACGTTTAAAAATTAATCTTACAAAGGCAGTGCCTTTGGCTAGGTTTTGCCTTTGACTAGGCACACTTTTTTGCCTCTGACTAGGCACACCTATTTCTAGGTAATGCCTTTGGCTAGGCAGTACCTTTAACTAGACACTTTTTTGCCTTTAGCTAGGCTTGCCTATACCTAGGTGATGACTAGACAAAGGCAAAAGCTACCATGCTCCGTTGAGGCACCTTTTCAAAGGTACCTATCTGACAACTCTGGTTTAGACAATCTTCGATTTAGTTCCAATTTCAACAACTCACGTGATTATTATTCAAATAAACAAAAATAACTTGTTTTTAATAATCACGAGATTAAATGAACTTATTGACCTTAATGTTTATTTGACAAAAATTTAGAAATTCACATTTTAATCAGTGAAAAATAATTAATTCAAATTATTTTTAAAATATGGAAAGTTACCAGCAAATTGTGCGTAACTGTAAACAAAAAAAAAATATTTTATAAATTCTTCACATGTTTTTTTTTCAGATGATAAGACATAATTTAATTTTGGAACTAGGTTCAATTATTACGTAACCCGAAAAAAATTAAATTTCAGACCTCCCTTCTTCCTAGCAGCCTCACGTAAAAAGTGAACGATCCCTAAATTTTTAATGCAAAACTTCATGTAAGTTCAACCATATTTTATGCATCTAGATCTAGACTATGCTAGTGTAAGTTCAATGCTACAATCAACTTTTCAATAAATAAATTCCTCACACAAAAATTAACCATAAAAGATAATTTTTAATAAGAAAATCAAGCCCAACATGCCTAAGATTGGAAGGTTGGTGGACATTACGTACTAAACGACAGATTTTGTTCACGCTCAGTTCAGCTGACTCAAATAATCTAGTTACATACATTTGTAGTGTTGCATTGTAATTGGTTCAAGGAATATCTGCTCAGTTTTCATATTTAAGCATTCTTATCACACGGTTGCAATCAAAACTCGTGCTTGTGCACCTTTTTTATACATGATGTAATGTCTGTCGGCATGTTGCATTATATCGGTGACAAAACCTTATTTTTTTCGTCTATAGCAGTGTTGTCGAACCTTTTTTGATCCACGGCACACTTGGTGCGAAGAAATGACGAAAACGGATATCCCAAATTCCCAAATTTTTTCACAACATACAAGTGTGCCTCGGTACACGAGTTGACCATCACTGGTTTTTAAAAATATTAAAACAATAATAATAATAATAATGGCAGCGTTTACTCATATCTGTAAATAATTGGAGCAACATCGAAAGGCAAGAAAGGAAGGTGTGACTTTTATAATAAATTTTTTTTCGAAGTGACCTGCATACCATGCAATTCTTAAAAAAAATATAAGAATGAAAAGTGATGATTCATGCGATTAATGCAGCATGCAATATGTGAGCTGTTATGTCATGGTCAGTCTGTGAAATATGCGTACATAGCATACGGATTTATGGGAGGTGTTTTTGATTTTTATCTCTTTTGGTGGATTTTTTGTTGATTTATTTTTTTTTGATACTTTTTAAAATAATGCTTTTGGTGGTTTTTAGGGCCAGGAGAGTTTCCAGAATTTTTATAGGAATGGCAAGAAATTGGAAGTTTTTTGAGATTTATGGAAAATTTTAGGGGTGTTTTTATATTGAAGCAATTTTGGCATTTTTTACTGCCTTTGCAAAAAAGTCCAGAGATCAACAACCGCCCAATGTTGTAATGAGTTTACAATTAAGACATTGTCATTTAAATCATCAATCTCAATAACTATAGTTCTCCTGAAAATAATTTTGAATTTATTTTAAATAAACATCCAATATTTAAAAAATTAAAAGTCCTTCTTTCAATGCATGGTGTCAAGAATATTTATTTAAAAACTTACAGCGAATTAAAATAAAAATAATTCCTACAAAATAATCAAAATTATCATTTGAATGCATTTAAAATTAAAACTTATAAATGAGGTTGCAGAAATGTCACTTAAAGTGACAACAATTTGATGTAAAATGTCCACTATCTGAAAGCAAATAAAAATTGTGAATTCAAAAAATGAAATGACCGAAAAAAATATTAAAATTCCACATTTACATATGATTTTTTTTTTATAAAATTTACAAAGTGACTGTACGTTTGACACAATGTAATTAAATAATAAAATAAACTCGTGCTTATGAATGAAAATAATGTGAACTTGAAAAAACTATTAATCGATAAGGCTTAGAACAAAAAATTAGCACTGATGGACATTGTAATGTAAGCTAAAATACGGAACATGATTTGCTGTGCGAAGGGGTTAAGGTTGATTTGCTTTATAGCAGACGGGATGAAGTGCAAGAATGCATGTGTTCTGATTGTGCTCAGATTTTATGACAAGCTTTGTGAATCTTCAAGTGTTGGTGACATTTGCGCACTATCTTGTGTAAATCATACAATTGTATGACCGATTATCTTTACAAACTATTTTTTGTGAAAGTATGGGCTCGTCAACTCATGATTTTCGTTATAAATTGGAAATTATTAACCACAGAGGCGCATAGTCAAGGACGGGTGGATTAGGGGGACAAATCCCTCTTCGTTTTGCTAGGGTTTTTATCAAAAATTCGTAAAAATCCCCTCACTTAAATATTTTTGTCTCCTCTTTCTTCAAATTCCTTGCTAGCTTCAAAGCTTAATAAACTAAGGAACCACTTACATACTTTGTAATGCTTAACTAGTCATTTTTGATACCTCCTTTATTCCCTAAGTTGACATAATTTGTAAGAGAATCAGAAAAAATTAATTTTAATTTGCAACAACTCTTGGTCCCTCCACCCTCTTCCCACTCCCACAACTTTTAAATTGAGTTTCTACTCTAAACCATCACTCATCATAAGCTTAATGCATACAAGCTCAAAAGTTGACGATGCCAACTGTTTTAATTTTAATGTAATCCACATTTAAAAGCTTTGATCACTATTTACTACTTTAAGTTCCGATAAATCACAGCAAAGTGTCTGTAATATCCGAGCAAAGTGGGATTAGGATATCGAGTCATATGTTGACTAATTTGCCAATGTAAGGCCTTACTCAATGATCGGCTCGTTGGTAAAACATCTGAATCACTTATCTTGAGAAGATCTTCTTCTCGAAGTCTTCGAAGACATAGGTTCGATTCCCAATAGAAACCTGTCAATCAATCAATAATTTTATCAGACAATTGAGTAAACTCATGGTACCGTAACATATTCAAGATTATGATCTCCTCTTGAGTATGTTACGGTATCATAAGAATACCATTTGTCTGTTAGGGTTACATTTTAAGTGATCTTGATATGTCTAAGGATCTCCCACAATGCTCACGACATTACAGTCTCATTAACTCCATCTCTCTTTTCTTATTTGAAAAAAAACTACTAAGTCATCATGAAAATGCAGTCACAAGCTGTATATAAAAATATTTCTATAAATATTGGCAGTTCCAGGAAACGCTCAGACATTTACATTAAACGTTCTCAATTTCAATTATTTACAATTTTTTATAAATTTTCGTTTAATTTTTTTGAAACATCTGAGCGTCGGCAGTGATAAAAGTTTTCTTTGAGATATGCAGCAATTGCGTTCTAATCTATCAATCGATTGTCACTGTCTACTCATCAGCATGGCGTCTGAAGTCAGAATCAAATAGCTCAATCGGAATGCCCTACAAGTGACAGAAGACATATTAGTTCCATATAGAAATATATTATTTATTTATTTCACCGTATAAAAAGCACATCTTACAAAAGAACTTGCGAAAAAAACAAACAATTTGATACATGAGATCTTCCTTTTCTTCTAAAATTATATGTAAGTCCCTGACATGAAGGCTCTTTTTTTCTGGATGCTTGATTCATAGGAACATCGAGTGATATTTTTTAAACATTTACTTGTGAGACACAACCTTAATATGAATGCTACAAATGTCTATTGAGCATGCTCATTATGTAGCTCTAGACTATTCTGATTGTCTGCTATGAATCATCAAGTAATTTTTTTTTAATTCCTTCCCGACATTGTAAATGCATTAAAAATATCATCAAGTGTCCCCCAAAGTTATATCCATTAAAAAAAGTCCTTACAAGTCTGACTAAAAGTAAATAAAATTTAATAATTATTAAAATAAAAAATCATTTAATGAATATTTAAAGAATATTTTTTGTTTGAGTAAATATTATTAGAATAACTCATAAATGACGACAATTTAAGCAGTAAATTGTATTTTAACGTATTATAAATTATTTCTTAGAAACATAGGTATATAATGTATATTTAAATGGGGTGTAAGCAAAGATGACATTAGCCACATTATAGCATTGTGTTTTTTTTGTGTTTTGTCTTATAAAGTATGCAAAAATTTTACCTGATTTATTTCTTTTCTAAACAAAAAAGGAAAATGTTTTAAATCAGGTAAATAAAAGCATTTATTAAAAATAAGTTTTTGTGGATTTCTTGAATCCAAAAAGATATTAATTTTGTGATTGTTTTTTAAGAATGGCATGATATTGAATAAGCTATTAAAAGCATAAGCTATCTAAATGAGTGTCATTTGTGTGCAATTAAGCAGCTGCTTTAACTTCTTCAGCAACTTTGACTTCCTCAACTTTATCGGTCCCATTTTCAGCTGCTGGCTTTTCTTCCTCAGCTTTTCCATTTTCTTCGGCTTTTCCATTTTCCTCAGCTTTGCCATTTTCTTCAGCCACAGCTTCCTCAGCTTTTGGTGCCTCCTCCTTTGTTGGCGATGTTACCTTTTCCTTCTTCTCTTTTTTCACCTTTACTTTAACTGGAGTTGGTGGCTTCGGTTTTGGTTCTTGAGCTGGATCTAATAAGATTTTGCCAATGTTTTTACGATCGTGCATCTTCTGCATAGCATCACAAACGTCTTCGAATGCCCATGTTGAGTCAATCTTAGGCTTAATCTTTCCATCAATAAACATTTTGAAGACTTCATTCATAGCGCTACGAACATAATCAGCTCCATTTTGCTGATACATTAAATGACGCAAATTAAAGCCAGAGAATGACTTGTTCTCATCGAAAAGCTTAATTGGTGAGACTTTATCGACTTGCCACCAAGAACGTGCGACACTGAAGAAACTCTTGGTCTCACCAGTAACGACATTTGCAGATCCATACAAGAGATACTTTCCCATTGGCTTCAACAATCCATATCCACGATTGCAGTCCTCGCCACACATACAATCGAGAACGACATCAACACCCTCTGGGGAAATTTTTCTGATCTCATTGACGTAATCAGCACGGTCAATTAAATGATCAATTCCAGCATCTGCTAGTTCCTCATGTTTGCCTTTTGAGCAGACTCCAAAAATGGTGATTCCTTCAATTGTACGAAGCAATTGTACAATTGCAAGTCCAACACCGCCAGCAGCAGAATGCAACAAGACTGATTTACCAGGCTTCAATGAAAGCAATTCATTAACGATGATATAAGCGACTACAAAGTTCATTGATATGGCAGCGGCATCGTTGTATGAAATTTCACTTGGCAATTTATAAACAAACTTAGCTGGAACAGTGCACAATTCAGCCCAAGCTTTGAATTCAGGAAGTGCTACAACACGGTCACCAACTTCAAATCCCTCAACTTCCTCGCCAATAGCTTCAATCTCACCAGCACATTCAAATCCCATAACAGATGGAGTTTTCGGTGGTGAATCGATTGCACCCAAACGAGTAATTAAATCCTGGAAGTTTAATCCACATGCCTTGACTCGAATTAAAACTTCTCCGTTTTGGGGCGTTGGTTCGGGTTTTTTCATAATTTTAACTCCTTTATATCCACCGAAACTTAACAAAACAACTGCTTTCATTTCCTTAACTGGCTCCTCTTTTTCCTTTAAACTATCCTCTTTTTTCTCAACTCCATTAGTTTCTTCCGTTGACTGCTCTTCGGCGTGGCCATTTTCTTCGCCAACAGCTTTTTGCGTTTCTGGTGCTGCTTCAGTGTTTTCAGGCATTTTTTTTGATATTCTTTATTCACTTATATGCACTTAAAGTAGTTTTAAATATGACTTATGGATTAAATGTATCTTCTATGATTTTTAAAATTGAAATGATAATTTTTTTTGTTGGGAACAGCCGCTTGTTGATTTCTTTTTTTCCTCTTTTTTGTCAGGTATAATGAAATTTTTCTAATGTATGTGTATGCTGGTGTACGTGATGATTATGACTGTGTGAGTGGGGAAGTGTAGGGACAAACGATGCAAACGGTTAAAAAGGAAGAAGGCGAGAGATGCAAAGAATGATGAATAAGAAAATGTAGACGCAGAAGCAAGCAACAAGAAGATTATGTACATGACAATATGTTAAGGGCAGAACTGATGGAGTAAAATTATCGATATTTGTTTGTCACTATTTTTTCGGTAGCATATGGTGCTGTGATTCATTGGAAATTGCTATTTAATTGAAGTATATATGATGAATTTCATCAGATTTTTATAATGACAGTACAATTGTGTGCTTAATACTTTTGCTCGAAATGCTTATCGCATGATTTTTGTATTATTCATTCTGCGATGATAAAAGAGTTGATAGATAAATGACTGTGAAACAGTGACTAGTATCTAATTATTAGATGTGTTTTTTTCTGATTCAGGGGTGTAGCTAGTGGAGGTTTTAGTGTCAAATCCATCCTCTTCCATTTATGATTTGTAAAGGTTTTTTATTATGAAATAATCCCAAAATCCCTCCAACTTTATCCTACATTACAACATACCAACATAAGCTAAATCCAAAAATTATACATTGAGATGGATTTAAGACAGAGGTTCTCAATCTGTGTTCCTTTGAATTTTTGTGCGTATGGCAGTTCTTCTCAATTTTTTTAAGGATACGAACAGCAACAAATTCTTATTACATTAATTAATGAAACAAAATTTGTTACTATTTACTTACTTACTGCAACCATGTTCCTATATGGAGCTTAGGTTACAACAAAAGATTTTCCATATGACTCTGTTGCTGGCCATGTCACCCCTTGTCTGTCCGCACATTAAATTGACATTTTTTCATCACTGTTTTGAGCCAAGGAGCTTTTAGAGCTCCTGGGCGTCTCTCTCCTTGCGGATTCCATCCAAAAGGGGTGTGATAATAATGTGTGAAGGGCTCAGCTTTTCAGCTGGAGGCACTGCAATTCAATTTGTAAAGAATCTATTGTACCATACCCTTTAGACCTACAGTTTATAGTGGGATCCGAACCAGTTGCAAGTACCTAGTCACAATTCGTGTGAGCAAGATGCCGTAAGAAAGTTTCAGATACTTGTAAACCTAGCAAAGGAGTCATATTCTATGCCAAAGACATCAAAAAAGTGGTGTAACAAACTTGTGTTTCTGTCCCAGCAATGATATCCTCTCTGGCATTTAGTTGTTACTAGTAACCCATGTAGAATTTTCTGATGGTACAGGAGTGTTCCAAAAAGCATAATTTAAGAACTAGTGGCCTTGGCAGACCCAGACAACGTAGCCATTTTAAATTAAATCAAATACAAGCCTTTTTAACCATTAAATGTTAAAAATGGAAGCAAATTAAAAAAATTTGAGAACCCCTGATTAACTCTAATCATTTAAACCTTTAGAATTGATAATAAAATGCATTCATTTCGGTACCAACGTCTTCAATAGAGATGATTTGAGTGAGGGTTGATTCAATTAATTTAATGTTCAATCTAGATGCATAAGGGTGTTATAGCATCCAAACCCAGCATCAAAACATATTGGAAATTAATACATAAATTCCTATCAAAATCACAGTTCTAATAAAAAATCAATAAAAGTTTTTCTTGAAGCCATAAAAATTTCGCATGAGTCATAAAATTCTACCCATTTAACTTGACGAACTGAGACCACTTGTATACGCAAAAAAGGCGCAACACTTCATGAAATAAGATGCGAAAAATGTACAAAAAAAGGAGAAAAAACAATTGAAGGTCAAGAAGAGAAATGAGGGGAAATTATAGAGGTTAAAGATCAAAGACGAATGTCATGCATTCAACAAATAAAAATTGATTTTCATTAAAACAAGAATTCCTGCATTAAAAAATTTGTCTATAATTTGTTCCGACATGATGCATTAAAATCGATAAAAATCTGCTCACATGCATGCATCACTCAATTATATCGCTTGGATACAAATCAAAGCCAAACATATGCTGGCATCATGAATAGCTGTTATAATTCAAAAAAATCATATGTAAACGTATTTTTAAGTATATAATGTCCGCCACTGGATTGCTTTATGCCTTTATATTGGTAACCACATGTTACTTAATTATTCACAAATTCTCTCAATTCTCCAATGTATTAGTACAGCTTATATTAGTAAACATAAACAGATGATTTTTTAAAGACATTTTATTTTATTAGTTAAATTATAAAATATTTTAAAAATGGAGAAATTTCGAAAAGTTTTTAGCAAAAGAACATCAATAATTGGGATGATTCACTTAAACCCGCTACCAGGAACACCAAATTACAAAAATGGAACGTTTGATGAGATTATTGAGAAAGCGAAATTTGAAGCTAATGTTTATCTTCAAAATAATATCGTAAGGAGAGATTTTGATGATGGTTTTGTCAGATTTTTTGAGGATAAAGTTTGAAATTTGATGACAAAGTTTCAAAATTAGACTTTCATTAAATGAAGCTTAATAAACTAATTTAATAAAAATATCTAGTTTAATTAATACTCAAAACATCCAATTCCAAAAATCTGACAAAAATCCATTCCATTTCCAACATTTAACATTAAGTACAAAAAATAAACATATTTAAAATATAGGATGGCATTCTAATAGAGAACATGCACGACATTCCGTACATAAAAAGTAACAAGTTCGGTCCTGAAATAGTCGCAACAATGACAACAGCAGCATTGGAAGTAAAGAAGCTTTGTTATCGTAAGCATCGAAATTTCCCCATAGGAATTCAAGTGTTGGCTGGTGGAGGACGAGAAGCAGTAGCTATTGCCAAAAGTATAGGATTAAAATTCATCCGCAATGAAGGCTATGTGTTTGCTCATGTTGGAGATGAAGGCATGATTGAATCAAATGCTGGTGAATTATTACGTTATAGACGAATGATTGATGCTGACAATATTATGATTTTTAATGATATTAAGAAGAAGCACAGTTCGCATGCCATAACATCTGACTTATCACTTCTCGATACAGCACATGCAGCAATGTTTTTCAAGTCCGATGGATTAATTCTTACAGGAAAATCAACAGGCGATGCAACAAATGTCGACGACGTCCGAATTATATCGAATAATCGTAAAATGCTGAATAATGTTCCATTGCTCATTGGATCGGGAGTAACAAGAGATAATTTGAGAGATTATATGGGAATTGCTGATGCTTTGATTCTTGGATCGTATTTTAAAGTCCATGGAAATTGGGAAAATGATTTATCGGATGAAAGAATTAAGGACTTTATGAAACATGCTGATGAGATTGAGAAGACGTTAAAGGAGGTGTAGGGTGTGATTTTGTGAAACTTTTTGATATGTGTTGAATAAAAAATTCGTTAAAATTATTAAATTTGAACCTATTTGGCAAGATTTTGGCTTCAGGGGCCGGATACTGAAGCTACTTAGAATACAGCTCCCTAAAATGTGATCAAACCTCTCGAGGGGATCAACTAAATTGTATTTTATACTTTTTTAAACTTTAGGATAGTCAAGCTGAATATTAAAATAAATATCCGGCATCAAGCTGTTGTGATTGATGCTAGTCTTAAATCGAATCCAGTATTGTGCCAGACTTACGCTATCATGAAGCCGAATTTCTATTTGACTAACCGACTTGTTCTATTCGGGAAAACCAGATGTTCAACCTTAAGCATCCCAAAACCTCATAGAAGCTCCGTCTAGTCCAATTACTCATCAACATTCAAAACACTTTTTCCTTCACAAAAATTTCCCACGTTCACAAACAAAATAATTTAAAATAAATTAGCCGTGAAATTGATGAATCTAGTAAGGAAAGATTCTTCTTCCTTCGTCGTCGATTGCTTTTGCTGATGCTGCTGTTGTCTTAAATTACGTACAGCATTTTCCCTCTGATAAGTCAAACTCGAGACAATCAAATTTTCTTCATCAAATTTAACACGTTTTCGTGGAACTTCCACATCATTTTCCTCTTTTTTGTTAGTAATAAATTGAGAGAAGCGATTATTACCCTGAGACATGCTATCGTCATGTTGATAAGACAAGTAATGCTCACCATCTTGATTATGGATTGATGTTAAAATTGATTTTTTTGCTCGTGTCGCATTTTCTGCCGTTTTAAAGCCAAACTTCTCCTTGATGGATGTAAAAATTGATTTATTTTCAACATTTTCTGCGTCATTTTGTTCAGTCTCGGAGTGTTTTCTTTTTAGTAGACGACGTGAAGCGCCATGAAAGCATCCGTGCTGTTCCTTTTCTAATTCAATATCTGTACAGCTCACATTTGCTCCATAGAAAATTTTGTCGTATTGCTGAAAAATGTAATTTGTGAGTAATACATTTATTTTTGAAGGATGGCAGCTGCGGATGGGTTTTCGGGGATGATTTGAGTGTCCTCTAGTGATTCCCAAGAGTACCATTCTATTGTATACCTAATATCCCTCTAAAAAACCTTTCCCACAGTTTAAAATTCATGAAAACTCACGCTTTTCCTTTCATTCGGTGACATCAACTGCATTTCCATCTGCTCAAACCTCTTCATGTCCTTCTTCTTCCTCATTGGAGTCCTTTTGCTTGAATCCTTTCTAATTGTTTTTCTGGTTTCAATGTGAGTGTCTATTGCTTCTTTTAAGGCCTTAATCCATGACCGTCCTGTTATGACATCCTCACTGCACATGATAATGCCTTCACTTAAGCATGTGAGCTTGAATTTACCAGCAAAGATTTCGTTGATTTTGCATTTTTTGAGTGGAAATATGCAGCAGCAGTCTAGAGAGTGTTCAACGACAGTGTCTGGTTTTCGGTCCTGAAAATGGAAGAAAATTGAGATTGTTAAGCATGTGTATAGGCTAGGAATAGCTAAATTGCTGCTACATCCAGCAAATATTAAGTCAATTAACATCTACAAACCTTTAAAATTTTACAGTACATAAAGATATCCGAGCACAAAACACAATAACGTTTCATCATAGTTCCATTAGCTGAGTACTTAAACAACATACCCTCCTTAATGAATCTCCGACTTGGACGAACAATATGGGGAATTCGATTAACAAGGGAATTTTGAATGTTCAGCATTGTCTGTGTATTTGCTTGATCCTCGACAACAGAATTAATGTGGTTTATTGTACATTCAATTTGTTTAATAGATTCTTGAATGATTTTATAGTCACTGTCTGATGGACTTGTGTATAGCAAGACTTGTTGGAGCAATAATCGATATCTTGGGACACGCTGGATTGGAGCAATAAGGAGTGAATTGAGCTTTTGTTGGACTTCTGGACGGGATTCATTTTGCTCAAGGAACTGCCTGAATGGCTCATTTTTTGTGGTCAAATTTTGAAGTAAAATTATTGAGCTTTTATAATCAAATGCGAAAACGCTATAAATTTTGAAGAATGGAGCTAGTTTAAGGAATGCATTGGCAACATCATCTAAATCTGCCTCAAGTCTTGTCATGAGTTCTGAATTAATATTGTAAATCAGTTCCAATTGTCCAAATAAAATTGTGTGTGAAGAAATTTCAATTAAATTTAACGTTTTTAGTGGATTTACAAAATAAGTCATTAATTTCTCTAGCTGGTTTAAATAGCTCTTTTCAGATGTTAAAATCTCTTCAATTGCTCTTCTTCTGAGTTGGTTCCTTCTGTCAAAATCGACAGACTTATTTGCCTCATCTTCAAATGAATTTTCTAAGAATTTTATTGCTTTTATTTTCGATCGACTTGTTAAATTATTTCTTCTATAAATTGCTTGTTGGAGTTCCTTTCTCAAGTCCATTTTTAGCTGTGGTGTCACAAATTCTTCATTTTGGTATTTCTTATTCCTTGGAGTTTCCATATTTTCAGTCTAAAAGTTAAAGGTTTTGTTGAATAAATAAACTAAAGATGAAAGATCGGTAAAAAATTTGAATAATCCGGTAAGAAATATTTTAAACAGTAAAATATGCAAGTACGAAAATTATTAATGAGTGATTAAGCATAAAGCGCATCTTTGGTGGGTCAACAAGAAAAAAAAAACAGAAAAATTCTTCGAAATTCATTGTGATTTGTTGAAAAATGACCGTTAATTTTGGACGTCATAAGTGAACGAACCCAAATGATCAGACCAAAAGTGAGTGGAAAAGGGCGTGTTGAGCTATCATAATAGAATTTAAATAAATTAGACAAACTGCGATGATTTTGAACCACAATCTTAAAATGAAAATTTCATCAGTTTGTAGACTTACAACTTGTAGACATTCCATCAAGCAAACTTCATTTCATGCTGTTTTTAAACTCCTAAACTGAAAATTCCTTTAACATAAAAAATTAAAAAGCCTTAAAATCTTTAAGGGGATTCAAAAAAATCTTCTCACATAATTTTTATTCGAATTTTAAAATCAAACAATTAATTTTTTTTTTCATAATTTTTCATCAATTCTTTCAAGAAATATTCTTAAACACAATATATATTCAATTAATTAATGTCCTGTCCAATTATTAAATACATTATTATCACTAAACATAGTAGAATCTAATAAGAAAGTTTTTAATTTAATATTTATTCACTCCTTACAAAGGATTATACACATAATCAAATTCATTTTTCACTTTATAAATATGAAAACTTTTTTTTAAAAAATTGGACAAAAAAGAGTTAAATATTTATAGATAGAAGAGGTCACAAGAGGGATCAAAAAAGAATAAGTAAATATTTTTAAAGACAAGAAAACAAAATAATAATTAAATAAAAAAAATATGGCAATGTCAGTTTCAGTATATATAATAAGCATATTCTTGATTCGAAGTTTTGAGGCGGTGGATTTTGAAAATTTTAAAAATTTTTGAACAATTCAAAAATTGATTTTAAAAAATTTATATTTTTGAAATTTTTTCAAATTATAAATTTTTGATGTTCTTAAAAATTGAATATTTGAAATTATTAAAATGTTAAAATTTTAGAAATTTTAAATATTTTTGAAATTATTAAAATTTCAAATTTTTTTTAAAAGTTGTGTCTTTGAAATTATTAAAATGTCAAATTTTTAAAAAATGAATTTTTGAAATTATTATAAATTTCAAATATTTAAGAAATTAAATTTTTGAAATTTTCAAAAATTTAACTTTTGAAAGTTTAATAATGCAATATTTTTAAAAATGTTGATTTTAAAATTTTTAAAATGTTAAATTTATAAAAACAATTTCAAAATATATTCACAAAAATTGAAAATTTTGTGTGAATATGAATGTAAAAATTCGCAAATTTATAAAAATAAATTTTCAAAATTTCAAAAAAATTTAAATCTTACGAAATCTTTTATCAGTTTTTAAAAAACTTCCAATCCACCAGCATCATTAAGACAATAAAACACATGATGAACATGTTTTTGTGATGAAATTAAGAAAATATCTACTTTGCTATTTACTTTTTTGTTTCTTATACAAAAGGAAAATATTTCCCAATCTACATAAATAGGAAGAAAAATGACAAAAAAGAGCAAAAGCATCTGAGATAATAAACAAGTTTGACTATATAATATATACTATTCTAACTATGTGATGAATATGCATCTCATAAACAATTAAAGGAGATAAACTAAGTTTATTTTCGTAAATTTTCTTTTTTCGATTATTCGTCGTATAGATTTTGTTTGTATATAGTAGCAAAAGATCTGATTGACTTTCGTTATTTACTATTACTTTATCAAAAAAATTATGATGATGGGTCTGCATCAAAAGGACGCATAAATATATATTAATTCATGAGTCAAACATGATTTTCTTGCATTATTTTATATATTTCATCTTCAACAACTTTTTATGTGTCATGCTTGGGGTGTGGAGATAGTGCTGATGATGGTTATTGGTTGAGAGAAGGTTCATCATGAATTTATTAATTTTTTTAGGCATTTTTGACTAATTTTAGGTCCAGTCTAGCATATTTTAATGAATTGACTGTTGAACATGCCGAAATGTTCTCTAAAAAGTTTCGAATTAATTACAATAATTTAAATTTTACACCTCAACCATCAACCAGCCCCTCCACATCCCTTTAAAAGAAATTCTTATCATTCTCAAAAATGGACGAACTAGACGGGGACGAGAGAAATATTACATTTTATAATTTATGATAAATTCTTTTACGTATAATCACTTTTATCGTTTTCTGTTGCTCATCATTAAACTAATGCTGATTTATGTACTTTCATTTGCTGATATCGTCTTTGTGTCCTCATCATCCAGCATTTTATTATATGCTTCAATGATACATTCACAAACGAATTTGTATTGACCCTGTGAAATGGAAGTAAATTGATATTAATGAAATTTGATTAAAAATTAGTTTTTTGATGGTAGAGAAAGTGGAATAAACTGGATAGTTTGGTGAGTATTGAGACATATGTTTTGGAATTTTTTAAGACTTAAAGGTCAATTGACATGAAAATTAAGTGCAAAAAATTGAAAACTTGTTGATTGTACGTTTTGGCAATTCTTTGATGTCTAAACGAAACAATTTTGAGTGACACAATTAATTTCTGAAGCCTACATGAAATCCTTATGAATACTGAACTTGATGTTGGTTCCAAATGACTGCTAAATGAAGTTTTGTGTCGCTTGGGAATAATTGATGCAATTAAAAAAAATTCCAGTAAAGTTTCCACAATGTCTGAATTTTAGGCATCCACCCGAGCTTTGGAAGGGCTCTTCAGAACCTGGTTTCTTGCTCACGTCACAAAACTTTACATCTAATAGCAAGTTGAAGACCACGTTTGATTGAATCACAAGACAACTTACCACATTCTGAACCATAGATGCTCTTTGATCCCTCATTGCTTGTACGATATCCAATGGATATACTGGCTCTCTAGCCTCCATTAATGCTAATGCAGTATCCATGAGAATCAACACTCCTGTCCTTCCGATACCAGCTAAAAATGCACAAAAATAATTTTATTTTCTAGTTCGCAATAAAGTTCAAGTTTCAAGTGTGAGAATTTTTTTTAAAAAATTGTATCAATGCATTCAAAAGTTGAAGTGTCTGAGCAGAGTGGAATCTAAAGGAACGAACTATATTTAGAGAAACTGCCAGTACTCAAGTTAAAGGTCTTTGGTTGAGTAGTTTGACAACAGACAGAATATCTGTAGTACTCTATATGTGAGGACTAAGGTTTGATTCCTACCAGAGAAAGCACTTCAAAATTACAGCAGTCTTCAACTCACCTGAACAATGAATGATAATCGGTGGATTTGCAGCAGAAATACATTGATGAACAGAAGTTGAAGGCGGTAAATCACAAGGAGATTCTCCATTTTCATAGTTCTTGCGTTCACCATCCAGTCCACCATTCTCATCAGCATCTTTAAGTCTAACTTGCTTGAGAGTCTCTTCAATTTCATGCAATAATGTTCTGTTGCGTGCCAATCGCACTCTCTCCGTAAAATCGAGAAAGAGTTTTGGATCAGATGGAACTCCATGATCTGTAAAGATTTTATAAATTGAGATATAAAATAAATTAACACAAATAATTAATTGAGCATACCTGGCCATGCCAAATACTGCATATGTTGAATTGTCCGACTTTCACCAGTTTTACCATCAATCATAATCAAATTTCTATCAACAAAACTTCCAGTTGAATCTGCTGTCTCGTTAAGACACTTGACTGTAAAAGTGTCACCCATATCGAGAATTTCATTACATGATGGCCAATATTGATGACACTTGACTCGTCCACGCTCCATAACTGTTGTTAACATGACAATTAAGTGACTACTCTCTTGTTGCACCATCCGCCAAAAGTCTTTTACTGTTGTTGCTAATGGCCCTTGTGCTGCTATGTAACGATTTATTTTACCATTGGGGATCTCCATGTTAATGTAATTTGCATTTATGTAGTCTCCATCTTCGTTTCCGAGGAGGATTACTCTTGTACAGTCGTCTTTAATTAAAGTTAAAAGGATTTATTGTAGAATAAGATGGATTTAAAGAAAAGTAGGTAACAAGGGCCTAGCTGCACCCATGATTAAGATCATCCTTAATATTATTAATTACAATATGAATCACTAGCCAGCTTGCTAGAAATATTATACGGAAATTTACTAGTCAAACATATTCCAACTGGATAATATTGATTATATGACTAGTAACAAAGCATGACTATCATACGTCATTTTTCATCGATTCATATCCATAATATAATAATATTTGATAAGACAAACAGAATGCATTAAACGATAAGCTAAGCTGACATTGTAAATAAGCGACATCAATTTAAAATAGTTGATGACTTCAAAGACAAAGTTCAGCATAATTTTTTTCTAGGCAACTCAACGATAATTTTGATGATTAATGTAAACATGAAGTTACTCACATGGTGATATGTCTCTATACCGATTTTTGCTTGCATTATCAGGTTTTCTTGCCTCTGTTATTGCTAAGTCATTATTCTTACGATACAATTGCTCATATTGTTGAAAAAGTGCACCACTTGCAATGCCATCGCTTAATAATAAAAGTGATTGTGGAAATAAATTTGCTTCGCTACTTCCAGTCAAAAAACTATGTTGACTATTACGAAATTGACTCTGATCTTCTGGGACATATTGATATAATGGCTCCTCAACTAATGAGGCATCTTCTAAGGCATTCGGTTTAATAATTAAATTCAATTCGCCATCATTTGTCTCGCGTGAATTGCGTATTAAAGAAACGACTTGATCATGCTTCAAATTGCTAACATTTCGTCCATTTATCATAATAACTTGATCGTTTTCGCAGATTTTACTATTATATGCGGGTGTATTGTGAGCAACGCGCGATACAAAAATATGCTTATCCGAATTTTTGCCGCCCTTCACATTAAATCCATAATGACCTTGCTCGTCTGCATACAATCGTATCGCAACGAGACCTTCTTCCTCGAGAAATTTCTGTGTTATTTCACTAGTTTCATATGCAGGCGGTGAGTCAAAGATCGCTGGAACGGATGAATCGAAACGTGCTGAACGATCAATAATTTCACTACTCTCACTATCGCCAGCTGTTGCCTGATCCCAAGCTTTTCTCGGTGATTTTGAATCCGTTACTGTTATCTTGTTATCATGTGAGCGATTTTTTGTGAATGAAAGCTTTCCATTACTTGTTCCATTGCTGTCTGATAAGCCATTCAATGTCGGCGATCCAATAGTTCGACGACTCGGCGATCTGATAAATGTTTTTGTTAATTTAATTCGATCTTTGCTTTCCTGTACGGCTTGCAGTTCAGTTCGACCAGAATATCGGAATTTAGATCCAAGGAGGGCAAAGCGATTAGGACGGTGTGGTTTTTGTAGACGGAAGAATGAGTGATGTTCGACACATGATTGCCATAAGATTTTTGCACGTTTATGTGATGCCATGTTGAAGCCAAGAAGGGTATCATAGCTTTCTGATGGCTCACGTCTTAATTGGATGAAAAATTCTTTCCTTTTAAACGAGACTTTTGTCATTTTTGACCATGAGAATGTATTGATACGTAACTCATTTGAATATACTAAGAGACCGATGGAACTAACGCCAAGTTTAATTTCCTTTCCACTTGAATCTGTTGCATCGTGAAAATCGATTCCATATTGATCGAGACGCTTTGCATGCTCGAGATAATTGCATTCAGCATCGGCTGGTAATTGACCCCGATGCAGCTTATGAAGCTCCGATATTTGACGTTCATTCTCCTCATTTTGTTCAACAAGTAATTGTAAATCACTCAAATATCCCTCGACATTCTCCTCTGCATTAAAATCTCCTAATTCTGATTGAACTTGAAAGCTCGCTAAAAGGCAGGCAGTGTGTAGTGAGACAGGCAATCGACCATGCCATATATCTTGTTTAATTTGCAAATAGAATTGATATCGTGTATATTCTTGAAGTCTTGATGGATCTGCGGGAAAGAATTTTACTCGAAATTCGAGTGTTGGCGATCCAACATGTCCTTTCGTCTCCTTAACCCATAGCTTTCGGAAATTTTTTGATGGATCCAACCAACGCTAAAATAAAAAATTGATAACAAAATTATGTCATTTAATTTGCTTTTAATTGTTCATGAGTGAATAATGGCATCGCTTTTTGGCCAAAAAAACAATATTCATATTTATGAGTGTCTTTTTCAGGAGGGTGAGTAAGCGAGAATTAAGTGGAAATTTGACACATTTTTTTGAGATACATCAGGATGACTTTTTAAAGAACTCTATTGTTAGATGATTCTGCGTAAATATCTAGCAATTACTGGAATTTAAATTAGATAAACTTTTGACGATTTTATGACTTTTATGGGCATTTATGATCAATTTTGACTATGAATCAAGGAATTCAGTTGAAGTCAATTGTCTATGCCGCCAATGCAGGACCAATATAGAAACCTTATCAGCTGTTGACGCTCCATTAAATAAGGTCTTCAAATCTGATTTTGTAGATGGAAAGAGATCTCTTGAAAGGCCAACCCACGTAACCAAAGTATTCCACACATTTTCCATTGACATCGATGGAAGATTTATGTACTTTCCACAAAATACAACATTGTGTATTACTTTTGTACTACACAAATGGTTCTTCCATGTATAGACCATGTGTAATACATCTATGTAATATTTTAAAAATCTGGTCATTCGGACAGTTAAAAACATTTTGATATTTTTTCTTGTTTGTTTATATTGTGAAATGTGTTTTAGAAAAATTAATATGACGTGAAAAATTAATTTAAATAGTGGTTTAATGTTTTAAATGGAGATAAATTGACGAAAATAATGGTAAAGTATGTGAAATAAGCCATAAAGTTATGATTAAGGTAAGTAAAAAATGAGGTTTTAATATTGAAAATTTACAAAAATTTGAGATGATTTAGACATCTTAAAATCATTTAATTATTATTCCCTTTTCCTTCTATTCTTTATAGGCATTGTAAGCATTTTATAGTTTTAATTAATTTTTAATTTTCAGGATTTTAATCATTTTTTTATTCTCTCTTTTTAGAAATCCAGCTATGTTTTTTGTAGTATAATTTTTGTTTTATGTGCATAATTTATGTAAATTTTTAATTAATAAAGTAAATAGTGTAAAGAATATACAATAATATGAATTAATTAACTCGAATTTAGGCAATATTTTTTTCAGGTGCATCAATCCAATAAAAAAACATAAAGTAGTACATTTGTATTACCCAATGTACTATACATGGAACGTCCCAAAATCGTCCATGAAATCATCCATCTCCATAGGACAATATCGTTCCATGTATCATCCATGGATGATACGCATGGACTATACATGGAATAAAATCGCGTAATACATGTATCGTCCATCTATGGGATTTTGGTTACGTGGGAAAGAACTCATGGAAAGAGGCTGTTGATAGAGAAAGTTCTGCACTTGGAATTGGCAATTGGTAGCCAGCGATAGAGCTAGTTTTAGGGGACGACTAAAAGAGATCATGGATCACGATTGATCTGTGCGACCAGCGAAGTAAGTAAGTCTGTGCAAGTTATGATATGAATAACTAGTTTAAGTACAAATTAATCATATCTTACATATTTATTTAAAATACAAGTTAAACAACATGTAAAAATAAATATCGCTTGACAAGTAACAAGCTTTTCTATATGTTGAAAAATTTGCTTAATTCAGAACTAAGTGCTCTGAAGAGTAGGGTCTGTAGATATGGCTCGAAGAGTAGATATGCCTGAGCATAGGGTTTGCGATGAACTGGTTATATGTGTATGATGGATAGCTGAAGTAAGATAAGTCCTTCGGTAGCCGAGTGGCAATGATTTCTGATCGAGTGGTCAAAGATTTCCTCTTTTGAGGTCGTGGGTTCGATTCCCATCGATTTGTTTAACATTTGTATACACATGTGGCAGTTAAAATGAGATCTACAGGATCTCTGGGGTCTATTTTGTGAATTTGTACATTTTACAGTTTTAATAAGCTTATACATTTTAAACAAATTTCAACAAAAAATTACAAACTTTCTACAACTTGCATACACAAAGAATTCACACTTCTTGATGACACTGTTGAAGATCTACTTTAGTGTCACAGACAACCACATGTGGATTATTATTCTTGACTATTTTTCTTTTGAATTGTAAATAAAAACTTTTTTTTGGCAGGATATGATGCACAAATGTAGGATTTTGAAATTATTTATATCTTTATCGAAATTCCTCAATTTTAATATTTTACAACAAATGCACAGATTTTTTTAAGTCATAAAAATAAACTGATTCTGATGTGACTGGATCTTACTCTACTAGAACTTTCTTTTCACTTTAAAGCTGTCTAATCAGCCTTACAATCTACATTAACACTCTAATCACATTTTTTGATAATCATTCAAGTCAGAAAAAAACAGTCAGTTACGCACAATTAATTGTAAATACAAACAAGACAGGACGGACTGACACACAGTGGGATTTACGCGCGATGAAAATTCATAGACCGAAAAGTACATCTCATAAATATTTTTAAGAAAAAAAAGCGCTAAAATATGTGTTAATTGGCTGGTATTTAACATTGCGTGGATAATGATTCATACCTCATATTCTGATTTGCATATTTTCAAGCCAAAGTAGTCACGTTCCGAAATCTCTAAATGATTAAATACTTTTTCTAGTAATTCACAGCCTTTAGCTTTTTTCTGTAAAAATGAAGAAAAAAAATACAATTTTTTATTTTTGTAAAATATTTTTTTAAAGGATTAAGAATTTTTTTTCGGTCGGTGCACTTACGTCAATTTGACAAGTTAATTTTGAGCCATCTAAACAATTCACTAAAACTGAATTTAGCTTTAAATTATTTTTCTTTGAATTCGCCAGCTCGCTATCGTCTATTCTATATGAACCAAATCGAAATTTTTCAAACATTTCGTTCCATGATAAATGCACAATAGAAATGCTTTATACAATATTAGTAAATTAAATTTTTACTCGCTCCTCGTTTGACGATCAAAAAAACTTAGAAAAAAATTTCCGATATTTACTTTTTTTTTCTTCTCGTTGTTATAAAATTATAATAGTTGGATTTTTTTTCTTCCTCAAGTGGTATACTGTTATACAAGGGCGCTGTTTGGCAGGAGATTTTGAATTGTTTGGAGCTGATATGGAATTTATGGTTTAATTTGTTAATTTTGAATTTATTTTGGATTTTTTGCCACAATTTATTTACTTGCTTACACACTTGGCTGAGGTGCACATGGGCTCATTGCCGCGCTTTTAAAACGTCAGAAGACTCTATTCTTTGAAACCTTCTGCCAACTTGGGATGTTAAGGACTTTGGCGTCTACAAAACCAACTATAAAGTTTGACATAACTTATAGACGACCCTATAAAAGTTCTATGATTTTATCTGGTTTCTAGAGCTCTTATACTAGGTTCAAACATCAAGGAAAATGTGTCTCTTGAAGCCCCAGGTACCAGTTTCAAGGGCATTGAAACCGTCCATCATCAAGATTTTAATCAACTTTAAAGAATCCGAACCTTCCGAACCAACTTGAGTTCTGTACATTCGAACAACCTCATTTACAATTTTTCTTCCCTACACATTTAAATCAAATGAATGTGCTCCAATAAACTTTCTAAAGAATGTGTCAATTAACACTTTTGATTCTTTATGTCTTAAAACTTGGTAAATTAGTAGGTTCAGTTTCTTTTCGGCTATCAAAGAGCTAAAATGTTCTCAAAAATTGTAAAAAGTTGTTTAATTTTGTGCACTTTTGCATTTATTGCACTCGCAGATCAGCACCAGGAAGAAGAAAATTTATTGAGTAGGCAGAAAAGATTTCTTGTTTTTGAACCATCAACTGTCTGGCAGGTCTGTAAATTAAAATTCGAAACATAAGCAAATTTTGAATAATCCACGTCACATTTCTTCAGCTTTCCATGGCATTGGTGTCAAAAATTGCATACGTCGACAGTCATAGAGTTGCCATAAATTCAGGATTTAATGTCAACTACAATCTTCCGACCAGTTTAGCAAATTTTTACAAGCCAACGTACTTTAGGTCCCTTGAAAACAGCACATCACCAATTTTTGAATTCATCAAAAAATTTGCAGAAAGTAATGACACTTCTGTGGCTGATTTAACTAAACAGACAGCTAAAATTTCTGATGATGAAAAATCAGAAAAGAGAAATAATGATGAAAATAGAACAAATGAGAATTTAGAAGCAGATGATGATAATGAAGTGACCACGACTGAAACAGAAACGACAACAAAAAAGTTAAAGAAGAAGAAGAAACCAAAAGTAAAGCGTGATTTAACAGCTGCTGAACTTTATTCTGGACTTAAGGATACTCTGAAAGTGTAAGCAGTGATCCATGAGACTTGTTGACTGTACTAAAGAACTAAAAAACTATTTATCGTCTTTTTTAGCTCTGGTTATCATGAAGATTGTTTACTAAAAAGCATCTGTGAACTTGCAAGGCATCCACTTACTGATCATGATAATGATTTAGTCTATGAAGTATTGCACTTTGTTTTGACGTAAGTAGTACTTAATTATGAACAGAGCAGTTACTAATTTATGAGTTCCTAGCTACAAAAGATCCGTTTGGTTGCTATTTGATAGGAATACGGTAATCGGAGTTCAAAAAGACTCCATGTGGTTGCCTTTCTTTGGAGTGGATCACCCTAGTCTAGTTTATAATTCTAGTCAAGTTTTTAACCCTAGTCAGATTATAACCCTAGTCAGATTATAACCCTAGTCTAGTTAATAACCCTAATCTTGTTAATAACTCTAGTCAGGTCAATAACCTTAGTCAAGTCAATAACCCTAGTCTAGTTTATAGCCCTAGTCAAGTTAATAAACCTAATCTAGTTAATAACCTTAGTCCTGATACGTTCAATTCATGTTCGACAAACTTATCGAAAGTCTAGGGGTGTTATAATATGCACTTTCGAAAAATTTAAATTTGAAAAACCGTTACAATTTTTGGTCATTTTATTCAAGTTTTTGATAGTTTTGAAAACAGATTTAGCTATATTATGCTTATTATCAAATGATAAAATAATATTTTCAGCTAAAATTCATGAAAAAATTGCTTAATTTAAGTTTTTATTTTTTCCTAATTTTCGAAAATTTCGAACTGCAGGGTATGAAACTTCGAATTTTGCAAAGCAGACAGACAAATAAGACATTTTTACAAGTGTTCTTGAAAACTTTAACGGTCGAAACTCTTGAATTGTTCGTATCAGCCTTAGTCAATTAACAACCTTAGTCAAGTTAATAACCCTAGTGAAGTTAATAACCCTAGTGAAGTTAATAACCCTAGTAAAGTTTATAACCCTAATCAAGTCAATAACCCTAGTCTAGTTTATAACCCTAGTCAAGTTTCTAACCCTAGTCAGATTATAACCCTAGTCTAGTTAATAACCCTAATCTTGTTAATAACTCTAGTCTAGTTTACATCCCTTGTCTAGTTTACATCCCTTGTCTAGTTTATAACCCTAGTCAAGTTTATAACCCTAGTCAATTTTATAACTTTTTTCAAGTGAACAACCCTTGTCAAGTTAATAACCCTAGTCTAGTTTATAACAATAGTCTAGTTTATAACCCTTGTCTAGTTTCTAACCCTAGTCAATTTTACAACTTTAGTCAAGTCAACAACTTTAGTCAAGTTTCTAACCCTTGTCAATTTTACAACTTTGATCAATTCAACAACCCTAGTCAAGTCAATAACCCTAGTTAAGTTAATAACCCTAGTCTAGTTTACAACCCTTGTCTAGTTTATAACCCTAGTCAAGTTTATAACCCTAGTCAATTTTATAACTTTAGTCAAGTAAACAACCCTTGTCAAGTTAATAACCCTAGTCTAGTTTATAACAATAGTCTAGTTTATAACCCTTGTCTAGTTTCTAACCCTAGTCAATTTTACAACTTTAGTCAAGTCAACAACTTTAGTCAAGTTTCTAACCCTTGTCAATTTTACAACTTTGATCAACTCAACAACCCTAGTCAAGTCAATAACCCTAGTTAAGTTAATAACCCTAGTCTAGTTTACAACCCTTGTCTAGTTTATAACCCTAGTCAAGTCAATAACCCTAGTCAATTTTACAACTTTAGTCAAGTCAACAACGCTAGTCAAGTTTCAAACCATAGTCAATTTTACAACTTTAATCAAGTCAACAACCCTAGTCAAGTCAATAACCCTAGTCAAGTTAATAACCTAAGTCTAGTCTATATCCCTTGTCTAGTTTATAACCCTAGTCAATTTTATAACATTAGTCAAGTCAATAACCTTAGTGAAGTCAATAGCCCTAGTCTAGTTTATAACCCTAGTCATGTTAATAACCCTAGTCAAGTTTTTAACCCTAGTCAATTTTATAACTTTAGTCAAGTTTCTAACCCTAGTCAAGTTTTTAACACTAGTCAATTTTATAACTTTAGTCAAGTTTCTAACCCTAGTCAAGTTTATAACCCTAGTCTAGTTAATAACCTTAATTTGGATAATGAGTTGTTGATTTAATAATCTTTGTTTCTCGAGCTTTTCTTCTTTGCGTCTCTCTTAATTATCAGCACCTACATAAACAATCATTAATGTAACTCTTAATTTCTAAATTAATATATTTTTCTCCTCATTTGCTAGCCCATCGGTGCATCAAGGATTTGACTCTGAAACAGAAGTAGATGAACAAAGAATCTACGAAGAAGCTGAAACTATTGGAAATTCTGGTGGTGATTGTGAATTATTTTATTCATCATGTGAAAGTTCACCGCTAAATTCAATTTCTCAAATTATGCATGAAGATTTTTATGACTGACTAAAAGCTTGAATTGATGATAAATGAGATTTTTGTTTTATTGATTTTTGGTATATATTGGATATGTCTAAGATTTAGTTCATTTTATAGCTAAACCCAACACTTTCAAATTCTGAATAATTCATGTAACTATCAAACTTTGCTTTTTGATCCTCTGTCATTTCCTTATGATGAGATCCAATCTTTCCCTCACGCATAAATGTAAACTCTTCATTTTTAGAAACATAATTTTTTGAAGCTTTTACAGTTTTGATTCTCTGTTCTCTATTGCATGATGGATTCTTCTTCATTGACTCAAACGATGAATGTTCACAAAGCTTGTCAATTTGTTCTTCAGAATAGCTCTTACCTAGGAAATTCATCATTTTCAAGATTTCTTCCTTCAGATTTCTCTTCATGTCCTCAAAATAAAGGAACAAAATGTTTGGTTCATGACGAATTTTCCAAAACTCCAAAACATTTTCATTAATTGGTGAATGAAGAAGTTTACCAGCAAGATAAGCATCGAAGAATTCATCTTTTGTTCCTGTATAGCCAATGATGTGGCGATAATGATGAAAATAGGATACAGCAGCATCTTTAGGATTGCGAGTTACGTAGATAATCTGTTGGATTGAGATAAATTGATTGAGTAGACAATTAATAATGGCTTAGTTTGAAGTATCTTAAGTGATTGTATGGCGCAACAGGAGGTTTGTTTTTGTCAAAATGAGAAGCTAGCAAGAGTCAACCTCTAATACAGTAGGATCATCCCAATTGGAGTCAACCATACTAGAGTCGACCAAATCAGAGTTGACCATACCAGAGTCAACCATACTAGAGTCGACCATACTAGAGTCAACTATACTAGAGTTTAACATACTAGAGTCGAACCATGCTAGAGTCGAACCATGCTAGAGTCGAACATACTAAAGTTGCAAACCGAATGTCGAACTTACTAAAGTCGACTAAACTAGAGTCGATCGTACTAAAGACTTGAATGTTAAGCATAAAAACAGTAAGATATTAAACCTCTTCGAGATCTTGGCTCAAAAGTAGACAGTTAATATTAAGTAAGGTAAGTATCTGTGTAACTCATTACCTTATCATTAAACAACTACTCGAGATAAGGTGTTACTAAATGGTTTTGCAACTTTCAAATCTAATTGTCATCACTACAATAGCTAGCTTTAATTAAGTCACTTACCTTAGGTTTTACAGTCCAAATTTGATCTGGCAGCAAGAATTTCGGCAAGTGGGTCTTGATGTGTCTTGGTCTTTGCAACTGTTTGCACAAATTTAATGAATCTCTTGGCTCTTTCGTAATTGCACCGACTCTGAGGGATAGAATATTTTAAAGATTGTTCCTCAAATTCGTTTACAGTCACTCAACTTACTCAATAAATGGAAATCTCATATCAATATAAGTATTCATGGCTCCCTCGTAATCCAAATTATTGTTCAACAGCCAAACAATCTCTTGTGTCCAAGTAGTTCCACATTTAGGAAAAGTTATGACCCAAATATCATCTTCAAATACTTCAAAGTTTTTGATTTCTTCAGCAAAATGATCAACATATTTATCTGTTAATACACATCGATTAACTCCGTCTGATAATTCAACGTAATCGTAATATCCAGGACAATTATCTTTATTAATGTATTTTTCACTCACTTTTTCAGTATGGAACATGTTGACTGATAGAGTTCTGAAATGAAAATGATAACATGAACTACTTGATAAACCTTAGTGAATATTGAAATGATAGCGTTTTTGAGGTTTTTATGAATGTGATAAGATGAAGACAGAGGCACGTCTGGTTTTTGTTTTGGGAAATTTTAAATGATATAATTCGACTAATTCAATAAGTTTCGAACATTTGACATTTATTTAATTTTTTGTATTTTTTCGAACGACAATTTTTAAATTACAGTTTCCTGTATTCTTACCTGAAGTATCCAATAATGTAAAATTAAATAAAAGATAAGAATCTTTTGCGGAACAGCAATTAAAATAAATATTTGATTAATACAGCAAGAAAAATTGACGATCAGCGTTAGTGAAAATCGAAAGCAAACTGCAAGTGCATGAGAATGTGATAAACAAAAACACAACGAGAGAAACTTAATATTTTATATGTTAAAAAAAAAGAATAAGTTGTGAATGTATTTGTTGGGGAATACCCTTGTAATTTGAGTTATGTGGAATCTCAATGCTTCAATTAAACTCTCGATTATTAGTCTCTCACTAGGCTATTCTTGGGCGCCCGTTCAAAAACTCCCTCCCACTCGGACCCATCTTCCTCCACACCTGACACCCATCTTGTCAACACTCTTCAAATTATTGGCTTGACACGACTTCACAAATGGCTTCTGTTCTAGAATCAGTGAGTCAGTGAATTGGGTTTTTATAATATATTCTCTCATTAAGTAATTTTGTAAGAATATTTATTTGGGGCTAGTTTAAAAATGACATTTATGTTGAACTTGAATTGTCTGACCCCCCCCCCCCCTTCCCTTCCTCTCAGTCCACTTCCTTTTGTCAATTCTTCACAAATCAAGGCATTCTAAAATAAATCGCTTTTCTATGAGGTTAGTGATATGTTTAAAAGTCTCAATTTTTACATGACATCATTTATGAACGACCCTTAAAAGTAGTGTGAAATACAATCATTTTATACAAAAACAGTTTTGTTTGTAGATTTAAATACATACTAATATCTTTATTTCATTGTGTTGATGTAGGCTAGTATAGTACAACTCAAACTCATTGAATAATGCTCACATAAGCTGATCAATTATCAGTGTACTGAAAATTTACAATTTACTTTTGATCATCAATAAACACTTTAAATATTATTAAAATAAGCTCAATTTATTTTTAACATTCAGCTAATACAAACTTTACAGTAAAAATCATTAAAATTTATATTTAAATCCACATGCTTTTAGTTGTGGGTCATCAAGTAAGGCATTCAATTTTACATTCTCATCTTCTTTCAATTCTTCTTTATGAGATCCAACTTGACCTTTTCTAATGAAATTAAAGCCTTCAATAGCAGTCAATCCATTTGATTTGTGCAGTTCTCTTAGCATTTCTAATAAATCTTCAAAGTTACATGACGGATTGTTTTTCATAGACTCGAATGACAAATGCTTGCAAAGCTTATCAATTTCATCTTCAGAATAATTTTTTTCCAAAAATTTCATAGCTTTTCTGACTTCCTGCTTCAAATTTCTCTTCATGTCCTCATAAAATACGAACAAAATATTTGTCTCATCGCGAATCTTCCAAAAATCAACAACATGATCATTGTATGGAGCATAAAGAATTTCATTGCTGACAAAAGCATTTAAAAAAGATTCCATTGTTCCTCGATAGCCATGCATGTGTCGATAATGATGGAAGAATGACACAGCAACATCTTTTGGATTGCGTGCGACGTAGACGATCTGTGGGATTGAATGGGAGGCTTAATCAGACTAGTAATATTGATTTTAAGTAGAAGTAATACGAGTTTAAAAGTAGTAACTTAAGGAAATGCCATAGCTGATTTCTAAAGCTGACTAAAGTCTTACCCAAGTTTCCATCAATCTTGACCCGATCAGCACTCATTGAAATTCATTGAAATGTTTGCCACCCGTCAACCAGGTTTGTAATATAATTAGAATCAAGCGATAGCCAATTGGCAATGATAGCTACGTGGTAACCACTTGTCCTCCAGTTGGAAATGGCTTCAAAGCGATTGCCACTTGGTTCTAATTATACTATCAACCCAGCCAACCGGTGGCAAACATTCCAATATGTGCCGATTGAATTATTTACACTATAGACTTCAATTTTAATGAATGCTGCCTCGAGTAGCTTTAAAAACTGACCCCAGCACTACGCTAAGCACTTACCTTAGGCTTAACACTCCAAAATTTATCAGGCAGCAAGAACATTGGCAAATGCGTCTTAATATGCCTTGGTCTCGGAGTTTTTTCACATATATCAAATGAATCAAACTCGATTGGAGCTATTAAGCCACCGATTCTAAACAAAAAATGACATTCAAATGAATAAGGTCAAACCAAGAATTTTCGATAAACATCAATTTACTCAACAAATGGGAATCTTTCTGCTAATTTCTTATTTATTGCTGTCTGGTAATCTAAGTTGTTATTCAACATCCACAGCATTTCTTGTGTCCATGTTGTTCCACATTTTATGAACGTCACAATCCATATGTCATCATCATAAACTTCCATTTCTTTGATCCTTATTAGAAACTTGTCGACACATTTTTGAGGTAGGATGCAAAATCTATTTGATCCATCATTTGCACAAACTTTAACGTAGTCATTTGTAATTACTGTATCTATGGTTTTGATTAAATCACCTTCAATAGTTTCAACTGTGAACATTTTTTTGTGGAGTTATGGAGCTAGAATGGAATAGTTTGTAAAGCCTTTATCTAGTTTTTTGATATCAAATTTTTTGATTAAGCAACTTATAAACTACATTTTTTGTATTACAAAATAATCAAATTTACAGCAATTATTTTTTTTTGTCAAGCTACGTGTAGATTTGGTTTAATAGAGGAATGATTAGACTAAAATCTGGTAAGAGACTGAATCAGCAATTGCTGAAAAATAATTTTTGTTTGTTGTATTCAACTTAAGAATGTTTTTAACAATGTTTCGTGTAATGTTTTAGGTTTGATGTTTAGGAGATTGCCGTTGAAATGTTCTTAGTCTCTAGATCGAACAAATTTATTACTTTAAAGGATATCATCTCAAGTAGTTTAATTTGATGAACTCAACAGTCAAAAATGAAACAATAAAAAATCATTTTCTTCATAAATTAATTGGCGGTCTTGAAAAAGACCATTTAATGTAAGTTGTTGTTGATTGTGGAAAGAAATTTAACCTCCGAAACCATAGAGAGTACGTCCTTGACGTTTCAATGCATAGACGACATCCATAGCTGTGACTGTCTTTCTCTTGGCGTGTTCAGTATATGTGACTGCATCACGGATGACATTTTCCAAGAAAACTTTCAAGACACCACGAGTTTCTTCATAGATCAAGCCTGAGATACGCTTAACACCACCACGACGAGCTAAACGACGAATAGCTGGTTTTGTGATTCCTTGGATGTTATCACGAAGTACTTTACGATGACGCTTTGCACCTCCTTTTCCTAAACCTTTGCCTCCTTTACCTCGTCCAGTCATTTTGTATTTTTAGTTTAAATTTTTTACTTCTTTACACGAGAAATAGTAAAACTTGAATGATGCTGATTCATGAAATTCACTCTCTTTATATACATTCTCTCGACTTCCCCTTTCTCACTTCTTTTATCTGATTTTCCATCGATTTTATCAAGTTTCTATAATTTAATTTACCTAAATCAGAACTCAAAATAGAAGTTTAATCATTTTGAAAATAATTCAGAAACTTTGAACTAATTTAATTAAAGAATTCCAAAGAATTCATCAAAAGTCTCTCATTTCCCCTGATTATTTCTCTCCCTGCCACATAAACATCTGTTCGCGCCAAAATGCTTCTATATAAGGGGCTACAGTTCTTGCTATCGCATCATTTCTCGTTTGTATTTCAAATAGAAAACTTAAAATGGCTCGTACAAAGCAGACAGCTCGTAAATCAACTGGTGGAAAGGCACCACGTAAACAATTGGCAACAAAAGCTGCCCGTAAATCAGCACCAGCAACTGGAGGAGTTAAGAAGCCACATCGTTATCGTCCAGGTACTGTTGCACTTCGTGAAATCCGTCGTTATCAAAAATCGACTGAATTGTTGATCCGCAAATTGCCATTCCAACGTCTTGTTCGTGAAATCGCTCAAGATTTCAAGACAGACTTGCGTTTCCAATCATCAGCAGTCATGGCTTTACAAGAAGCATCTGAAGCTTACCTCGTTGGATTATTTGAAGATACAAACTTGTGTGCCATCCATGCCAAGCGTGTCACAATCATGCCAAAAGACATCCAACTTGCTCGTCGTATCCGTGGTGAACGTGCTTAAACTATTTACAGTAAAGGTTCCTTTACAATTCAACGGTCTTTTTCAAGACCACCAAAAATATTAAAATGAAAAGAAGAAAATTTTTCAATCAATTTTATGTTCTCATCCTATAATAAAGGAGCCTAGTAGAGTTTTTTCGAGTACAAATTAGATAATATAATGAATATAGATGCTAGATTTTAACCTAGCTCATACACGATTATAATATTTTTGTAGAAAAATAATGAAATGACGCTAGTTGAAGTTTTTAAAATGGCGTCTTTAAAAATGCCACAAGATGCTTACTACGGATAGAGCCTATACTTTGCTGCGTTCAAGCAAGCAAAGACAATAACAATTATATAAATTAGTATATAATGACTGACACAAATCATAAATAGGTTGAGACTTTTGTGAATATGGCTCGAACGACGTAGACTTCTTAAAATTTCAGAGGTATCATTGTAGGAAGTCATTATTTTTTGGCGCCTTAATCGTTTCAGATTGTTAACTTCTTGACTAAGCTAGAATATTAAAATTAAAAGTTTGTCTTTCTTTTTCGAATGAGATTTTGTAGTCCTGAAAAGGACTATTTTTGAGGTGATTGCTAATTATCAGCAATAAGTTGTACTTAAACTATAATTAAAATATCGATTTTGTTGGAATGAAGTCTGATTTAAGCTTTCTTTGCTGCTGGCTTCTTGACAGCTTTTGGCTTCTTCTCTGCAGCTGGTTTCTTTGCTTTTGGTGAAACTGCCTTCTTTGGCTTAGTGGCAACTTTAGGTTTTGGTGCTACTTTAGCTTTTGGTGCAGCTTTAGGTTTTGGTGCTCCCTTTTTAGCAACTGGCTTTGCTGCAGCTGGTTTCTTTGTGGTCTTTGCAACTGGCTTCTTTATTTTTGTTGCTGTAGCTGCTTTTGGTTTCTTGGCAATTGTCTTTTTGACACCAGCCTTCTTTGGCTTAGCAGCGACCTTCTTTACAGCTGCAACCTTTGGTTTTACAACCTTTTCTTTCTTGGCTGCTGCTGGCAATTTGAATGATCCTGAAGCTCCTTTACCTTTTGTTTGCAACAATTGTCCCTTCTCAACAGCTGATTTCAAGAATTTTTTAATGAATGGCGCCAATTTGTCAGTATCAACTTTGTATTGAGCAACAAGGAATTTCTTAATGGCTTGTAATGATGAACCACCTCGTTCCTTTAATGTCTTAACGGCATTGACAACCATTTCACTGACTGGTGGATGAGTTTTTGGTGCCTTTGGTTTTGTTGGTTTGTCAGTTTTTGGTTTCTTTTCCTTCTTTGCTTTTGCTGGTGAGGCAATTGGTGTTGTTGGTGCTACTTCTATTGCTGGATCAGACATTTTTGATTTTTTTCTTTATTTTTCTTGATTTGCTTCGTCTTTAAAAGTAATTTCAAACTGAAAGTTTTTTAAGAAATACAAAAATGTGAAGGTCCCTTGACAATGCGATGTGAATGGAAACGAAGCCTCGCGCTCAATTTTTGTTGGAAATTATTCCGTTATAATCTTCAGTGCTGATCTCAAAATTTGTTAATTATTTCACAAACTTTTACTATGCGATTCAAAATAGTTTTTGAATCTTGTTTTAAAATGAAATTCTGCTCCAAATTTGACTTTGAAGATTTTAAGTTTAATTTGTAAACACGAGGAAAATTAAGTTAAAGTGGAAAATAATGAAAAATTTCGGAAATTTTCTTAATTAAACTTGAATAACTTTTGAATCGAATGAGATATTTTGCTGAAATTTTTACTAAGAGAAAGTTAATTTATTGCAAATTCAAGAAATTCTGTCAAAATTCTCAAAATTTTAATTAAATTAACTTTGGGAAGGTACTTAAAATAATAATGTTTGACACTCGGTGCTTGATATTTTGTGTGATTAATTTTAATAGATTTAATTTTAACTTCTCAATGTTTTATGAAATTAAATTAAGCACCAAAATAAAGGAATTTTTTAAAACATTAAAATTAAACACAAATTTGCCAAATTAAAAGTTAAAATCTAATTTAAATTAATTTATAAAATTCTTCATACAAAATGCCTTATTCGATAAATGAAGAGCAAGCTATATGAAATAAATAAATAGAAATTTTTGTATAAAGACTTAGTCCGAATCTAATACTTTTATAAATTCAAATTTTTAAGCTTTCCTCGATTAATTCAATTATTTTAATTATAAAAATTTCCAAATTGAAGTAAAGCAAATGTTTTTAAAATGTTTTTATTTAAACAATGCGTCATCAGAATTATCAAGAACAAAAGAGAATTGACTCATTTACGAATTTTAAACCTAGAAATAAGAAACAGAAAGTTTTTTATGTTTTTTTTTAAATATTTGTTTATTTAAATAATTTTAACTTTTTTAACTTAGTTTTATTATAAAATTATTTTACAATCGTTTAAAAATACACAAATTTATTTAAAGCTAGTTTTATTTGTAAAAATTAATTTTATCCCTAGAAAATTAAAATAATCCAGTCTAAATTGATAAAAAATCATTCTCTTTTTCATAAAGTATTTTGCGGTCTTGAAAAAGACCATTTTGAATTTGCGATGCAGCATAGAATAGCAATTTACTTGGATGATGTGTATTTGGTAACGGCTTTTGTTCCTTCTGAAACAGCGTGCTTAGCCAATTCACCAGGCAAGAGTAAACGAACAGCAGTTTGGATCTCGCGACTTGTGATTGTTGATCGTTTATTGTAGTGAGCCAATCGTGAAGCTTCAGCAGCAATACGTTCGAAAATGTCATTGACGAAACTGTTCATGATGCTCATTGCCTTTGATGATACACCAGTGTCTGGATGGACTTGTTTCAAGACTTTGAAGATGTAGATTGCATATGATTCCTTACGCTTATGACGTCTCTTTTTCTTGTCATCCTTAGAGATTGCTTTTTGTGCCTTGCCGGCTTTCTTTGCTGCTTTTCCGCTTGTTTTTGGTGGTGCCATTTTAGTATGAAGTGTTTTGAATGAAATTCAGAATACAACTGATGTCTCTCCACACTTTTTACTCTCTTTATATACATTTTCTCTCACCATGTAGCACAAGCCACGCCCCTCATTGTTTCCCGCTCATATTTTTGTATAAATACTTGAACATTTATGAACATTCAACTCAGTATCGTATTAGAATTCGTTCTTAAACTTTCTCGTACAAGTTAAATCAAATAATAAATTGAAAAATGTCAGGCCGTGGTAAAGGAGGTAAAGTAAAGGCAAAGGCAAAGTCACGTTCAAGCCGTGCTGGATTACAATTCCCAGTAGGTCGTATCCATCGTCTTCTTCGTAAAGGAAACTATGCTGAACGTGTTGGTGCTGGAGCTCCAGTATATTTAGCTGCTGTTATGGAATATTTGGCTGCTGAAGTTCTTGAATTAGCAGGTAATGCTGCTCGTGACAACAAAAAGACAAGAATCATTCCACGTCACTTGCAATTGGCTATCCGTAATGACGAAGAATTAAACAAACTATTGTCTGGAGTCACAATCGCACAAGGTGGTGTTTTACCAAACATTCAAGCTGTCTTGTTGCCAAAGAAGACCGAATCAAAGAAAGCTTAAATTCATCAATG